AGAGGAGCCCTCGGAGGCCGCCGCGGGTGCCAGCGGCTGCCCCGGCTCCAGGACTGGAGCAAATGCCTTGCAAGGAGCGTCATTAAAGGCAGCGCTAGTGTTTAACGGAACTGCAGATGGCCATTTCTAAGTTGAAACACTTCCTTGCTAAAACCACATGTTCCCCAAGACTGAAGAAACAATTCTACCCTGCAGTGACAGCCCAGGAATCCAGGGCTTCCTCTGCTTCAGGTTAGAAACGTGCAGCTTATCTGGTTGGACGTCAGCTACTGCAGCTGGATTAACTTAACAAGCACCGTACTATCATTTTCTCTTCTCAGTATGCCTAAAATTCACTTTCAAACACAGCATGAGAGGAAAGTAAATCCCTGCCCTACAAATGGAGAAAAACGAGACAGGGAGAACAGCGCAGTCTGATTTTCAGAGGGTGTTGTTGCAATTTAGCGGTCGTGAAGGTCTGTGGGAAAAGGAGGGCCAGCCCAAAGGGAAAGCCCAAAGGCTGAAGCTTGGCATTTCCAGCACCTAAGATATTGCCCTGTGCGACTCTTCCACAGTCGCAGGTTAATTTTGAAGCAGAGGAGTTAAACCCAAGTCTCATCAGTGGGTTCTAGACCAGAAATCAAACACGTGTCGTCCTCCCCAGCACAGCATGAGCACCCCTGGCACAAGAGAGGAGCTCACTATTGCATCTGGAGATAGCGAATTCCTACGCTGACTCCACCAGAGCAGAAACACCAAGCCACATGATGTGTATTACGCAAAAAGCCCAAATCTCTCTGTATTATTTAAAATGTTCCAGTCAGAGGCTGTGCTTAACAGCTCTGCTCTCTTCACAGCCATTCTGCTACAACACCATTTCACATCTCTGGTTCCTAAAAGCCTTTCCAATCATATCAATCCCTTTTGCTCTGTTGCTATCTCAGATGCTGCTACATCACTGCTATCACATTAAGAACACATTTATCTCACACAACCTGAGGATGTTGTATATATATAAAAAACCCTTTAGAAATCATTCTTCCCCTAAACAAATAAAATATTGTTTCAGAAGTGAAAGAAAATAAAACCCAAGTAGTGTGATTATTATGTTACTGAGGACAAAGCTGCCCAGGGGAAAAGCAGCTTCTTCCAGAGGCGTTCAAGCAACTGTTTGGGAGTCTTGGCACTAATCTTGCTAATTGCTTTGGAGAGTAGTAACGAAGCAAAGTCTTCTTGATCTTTGCCTCCTAACACAGCGTCTGGGCACAGAGTTTCAAGGAGCACAGCAGAAAGGTGCAGGGACCACACAGCATTTAACCGCTATGGGCACTACCAGGGGAAGGCAGGTGATCGGGAGGGCAGAGCAGAGCTTCGGGGACCCTCTCGAATCACGCAGAGTTATCTGTCGCCTTCCATGCTAAGAGGCAGCAGAACTGACACCAATCTCCATGCTCACCCGCAACAGGACACAGAGTTACTGGTTTCTGCATCTTGGCTCACACAATCTTTCAGCAAAGCCTCACCCCGCTGCTCAGAGACGACCTTGGGTTCAACGGATGGGCCTGGCTGGGGAAGAACCACACCTGTAGAACCAAGTCATTGACTTTTACACCCCGGGGCCGACTCTTTTCATAGGGAGGACCATAACCAAAGGCATCCCGTGGCTCCCGACAAGCCGAGCAGCTGGGGAGATGGATCTGCTTGCTGCGCCGAGCGCGGAGGGCTGATTGATGAACTGCAGCAGCAGCTCCGCGCTGCCAGGCCCAAAGAGCGATGGCACCTGGAGAGCCTGTCAGCAGAAATGCGGCGTTCCCACCCGCCGTACGCACCAGACAAGCGTAGGTCAAAAACAGCTCTCAGAGCATTAACCAGCACTGCAGAAGACACCACCACCCCCGGATTTACCTGTAGAGCTTGCTCGGTTCAGAATGAAGACCCTGTGCGATGGCACCGCAGGCCCCAGGCCCTGCCCGCGACGGGCTGCGAGGGCGGCTGCCCCATGCACCACACGAGGGAATCGCCCGGGTGCAGAACGGGAGCCCGCGCGGCGTCTGGCAACGTTATCAACACACCCAGGGAAACAGCAGACAGGATATTTTCCCTTCACGTATTCCCAGAAATATACAAATTACTTTTTCTTAGGAAACAGGGCACAGAAGCTTCAACCAAGCTAAAGGATCTAAATTATACTTCCAATTAACTCTGTTCTGATGAGGCAAGAGTCAGACTACTGAAACTTAACTCATTAGCTTAATGCTTTTATTCAGCCAGAGTCAAAGCATCTTCTGACTGACTCCAACTGAAATGTAACCTGGACTGCAACAAAACAGCAGATGGAAATAAATGACCATGCTTAGGTGTTATGGGTAGTGCCACGAAGCGCTAAGGGAATTCTGTGCTGCACGGACTGCTGCAAACGCAGCCTGGGAGGTGTTTGGAAACCCCCAGGAAAGGGGGCGCACACTGACTTGCAGGGCAGCTTGACAGACGGGCAGAGGTGGCTGCAAATATCGCTCGCCAAATGCAGAGAGTCACATGAGGCAGGTGAGAAATTATGAAGATTTCAAGGGAGGGGGAGAGAAGCAGGAAGGGACACAACACAAGTGTTTCCTAATTCTGTCTCATCCATAACACGCACACACACAAAACACAGACCCATTCCCCCCACACTCTGGCCTCCCCCAGGACCTCTTGTTCTGTATCCTCCTTTTTTCTCTTTGGATGCCCCTGTTTTTAGTGTTGTGAAGTTGGCAGGTGTCTCTGATTGTCTAAGCGGTGTCAGACTTCACAAAATGGGTGCAGAGGAGCTCAGCACAACCCAAGGGCTGTAACACACCCGGGAGAGTTCCCGTCCACGAGCACAGTGCCCAGGATTCGCATCTCCCCACCGGAGCAAACCCAAACGCTGCTGCAGCTCTGAAATCTGCCTGGTGTTAACAAGAGCTTTTGGAGTTCTAGTAGGGAATAATTCACAACTAAATTCTGGGAAGGAAAGAGCAGATCTCCTGCTCCAGGGCTGATGCGCGGCCCTCGTGGTGAGGGCCTGGGGTGATGTCCCCCTCTGGGAGCTCCCTGTACAAGCTGAGCAAACAAAAACATTGTAAGAAACAAGGAGGTTGCTCTAATAGGCCCAGTCAGCCCCAATAACGTGGCTCTGATAGCACAGCTAGCTCAGGACTGAGGTCCCCACAGCAAAGCCCATAGTTTCCCCGAGCCCTCCTTGCTCCTGCGCGCATCTCTGCCAGGTCAGCAGCAAACGCCCCAGCTCTCCCCAGGCTGTACAGCTCCCGCTCGTCTAAGCTTTAATAGACTCAATATTTGCTTTTGAAGGACTTTTCCTCACTGCAGAGTACAGCCCGGGATGGAGGAGTGTGCAGAGGTGCAGCTATGTGGACGGCTGGGTAAAGTGCGGGCAAGATCTCAATTGTGCAAGAAAATTCAGGACGTAGTGGGAGGCTTCTACCCTCTAAGGAAACCCTCTTGCTCCAGCTCCGAGTTGTCTCTCCTACGGAGCATAACAGAGAACAGGGAGGAGAAGGGGACATCAAGCAACCTCGCTCTAGCCACCAGTCCCACATGGAAATTCCCACCCCACATTCGGCCTTAGTCCAGGGGCAGCAGCATTTAACTGCTTTCTGCATTTCAGGAAAATACCAGACATGAGAACTATTCCTGGTGAAGGCCTTGCAGTTTTCTGAGTTGTGCCTTATGTAAAGTCCTTTCCCTTCTGCACATCTAATCCTCTCTATCCAAGTATTAAAAACAACAGAGTAACTCCCATGCTAATACTCGCATCCAACAGAGATCACGTCATTCTCTAAAAACTCAAATTACAGGTTTGTTGCCTCTGAGCCTTACAGAAGGCTCTGAACTAAATCCTTCATTTCCAGAGTAAAGCCAGGATCTACTACAGGAAATAGGTTGCTTGTTGCAACACGGCAATTTGCAGAGGGCAGACGCTACAAATTGCCACTGGGTTCACAGTGTCAACCAGAAAGGCTCTCGCACACGGACATCATCTACAAAGCAGTGCAATGATGATAAGACATGACTTCTCACAGCACTGAGCATCAAAAAAGCAAGAGGGCAGGAGCACAGGCACTCACACCAAACTGCTCCAGCTCATTAGCTGAGCACAGGTCAAGGCAGGATGAGAGACAGAGAGCTCAGGTCGGTTGAAGTTAGAAAAACAAATAATAAAAATATCACACACCCAACTGCAAGACTGACTCAGCTCTCAACTCACCACTGAAAATATTGTGGCTTTGTTTTAAAGAAGACAGGGGGAAGAATTCTGTGTTGAAAACAGAATTTATGGGGACTGACGCAGACCTTGCTGCTGCCTTTGCCACAAGACCTCTGACTTAAGGACATTTATTATCCTCTCCTGCCTCTCACATAAAAGGCTGAGAGAAAAAACAGCAAGATAATTAAGCTATTTGCAGAGGAAAAAAAAAAGAAACTCAAAATGATTTTCTGTCATTTCTTGAAATGCATTAGGAATGTCTGGGCAGAAGAATTACAGAATTGCTCTTGAATGTATTAACTGCAGTGAGAAGTTGCACCCCTAAGTGAAGAGACCAAGGTCTGCCCTCCTCAGCAAGTTTCCCACAAGGAGCTTTTCCCCCTCTCTTGACAATAATATCCTTTATTCTGCCCTCAAAATTTATATCCAGTAGCAAGGAGCTGTAATGTGGCTCACTGGCAGCCTGGAGAGCTGGTGACAGCCCTCAGCAAGAGCTGCTGGAAACGCGAGAACCCAGAACACTTTTCCTCATGGAAGCTTGCTCAAAAACAGTCCGATCAGACCAAAGTTTCTATTTTGTAAGTGACATTTCCATTGATGACCATTTCCCTGAATAAAACCTTTCCCATTTCCACTCAGGCTAGGAGAAGACTCTTACCTGACAAGCGTTGTACAGAAGCTGATGCTCAAATTTCTTGATCCCCAAGATGTTCTGGAACATCTCGTAGAGCTGCTCCTTGCTGAGGATGAGCTCTGAGGCTGCGCTCGCTGTCATCCTGGCCTGCTGCTTGCGGGGATCCTCTTCGCCACGGTAAATAGCATCAAACTTTGCCATCCAGGAGCTCAGGACCGTCTCCTTGCTGAGGCCATCGATCTCCGGCAGGCTGCGCACCCTCTTCTCAATGTGCTTCTTGAAGACTTCCCGCGAGTCGTTTGCGGAGCACCCTCCGCTCTGCACCATCCTGGCAACGCGGTCGCTTTTTAGAAACACCTGGAAGGAAAGAGGGGCTTCAAATTACGTCAGTTTAAAAACATCCTCCTTGCTGCTGAAATATCACCAAAACCTGTATTCCCTAAAGGGAAAACCGGCAGCTCTTTGCCTGGGTGCTTTCTGCTGTTCCACGGGACAACCACATATTGCAGGACTAACAACACTTTCCTCTGTACTTTGTGAAGTGTAACGAAATCAGGTAAAGCTTCTGCTTTTTGTCCACTAAAAGGGAAACATTTTGATGCAATTAGGGTTTTATGGGACGCTATGATCACACTTCAGCCCGTTGCATAAACACCCTTTAAGACAGCAGGATTACGTTTTGTTTTAGCAAATGTTTTAAGAAGAAAGCTATTGCACAGCTACATTCCCTAAATTGAATTCTGCCCTGTTATAAAGAGCCCAGTCATCCTACTCAAGTCAATAGCATTGCACTGCATTTACCCTCATACCCAGGACCTCGGAAACCACTGATGAGTGCAAGGACACAGGCCCTGCTGTGACAAAATGGCAGGATTTGCATATCAAACCTGAATTTGTTTGACATTATTTTCAGTAGGACACGTGTCATTGTCATCCTCATAATTCTCTGGTTTTTCTAACCTGTACAATCAGCATTGAGAGAGTGTAGTTAAAATGCCCCCTGGAGAACAGCATCCCATGGGAGCAACGGAGGATTGAAGGGTGAGAGGGAGACAGGGAGATAACTGTGTTGGCTCTCCTCTCCCATGCCCTCAACACGGGAGAAGAGCCATCGATTTCTAGCAAGAACTGCTGTTTTATAAAAGACACTGCGAATCAATGAATGCAGCAGGCTGGGAGGAAGCTGTGCCAACACAGGCGCTTATCTGTCAACTCTCAATAATTAAAAAGCTTGAGGATAACCTGAGGACACGGTGAGATTTTTACACCACTTAGCAGCTCAGCACCCCATGTTCCCAGCTGCTCCACAGCACGTGCGTCTGCCAGGAACGTTAGTGGGTTTTGCTCCACGAAGCGCCAATGAAGGTGCCAATGAAGGGCTGGGGCACTTTCCTGCTGTTTTTTTTTGACACCGGTGCGCTGGGGAGGGCTCCCTGCAGAGAAGGTGGCCAGGAGCAGGATGCTACCAGCAGCCTTGACATGGAGGATGGTGTCCATGCTCAAACATCACCAGCGTGTACTTACCTTCCCTGCAAAGCGTAAATAAGAGCAATAACGTCTTATGTTTGAGGGTAGTTTGTTCAGTAGTAGGTGAGACCTACCAAAAACTGAAGATCTGGATGCAGCCCCTGCCAAGCAAGTCCTGCAGGCATGGACTGCTGCAAACAGCAAGAGATCACAGCAAGGGGCTCCTCTGCACCGCGGCGCCCGGTGCGTCCCCGCAGGCAGCGCTGCCGGCGCAGAGGAGGGGAAGGCAGCGGCTGGCAGGGAGGAGGCAGGCGCGGGGGAGCGCCAGCCAGACACAAACAGGAAAAGGGGAGAGCAACGGCAAGATGAGAAAACGTGTTTTGTCAAGGAAATTGCTCTGTCCTGCAGAGTGAGCTGCTTTCTCTGGAAGGCAACAGGCGAGCCGCCCAGCTAGGAGACTGCCTAATAAGACTGCCAGGAGTCAATAATTACTGCAGCAAAATCCTAATGTGTGCACACACGCCAGCACTTGAGAAATAAACCAGCCTTGAGCTGGACCAGACATCTCCTTCTGCCACATCTGTGGATAGGTCCCCACAGATCGCGTGTGTCCTGGTCCTATTTGCCAGCAGCAGGGTGGGAATGGGTCTAAGAGCATCTCCCAGATACCAACTGCAGGGATTATGGGTCAGATGAAGCTTTTATTCCGTGGAAGTGAAAGATGGGGCAGGTTTTCCCAAAGCACCTGCTGGAGTGCGCTAGGCCTGTCATCCTTCACCCGCTGGATCTGCAGCATTCCTACAGCACAAGGGTGCTCTGCAGACCAGGAGCTGAGGCTGCTCAGACCACTCAGCCTTTAATTTCATTGCAGTGCTGTCAACAAACCCTAAACTGACGACCATGTTTACCCCCCTGACAGCACGCTCAGCAGAGCATTACCATGCAAACATGCTCAGGATAAGGACATTAAACGCATCCCTGACTCACCATGAAACTTTTATTTCTTTCTCCAACAACAAAAAATCCATTCCCCAGGTCACACGGGAAGAGAACAAATCTATTCTGTCCTGACAGTAGGTGAACCCCTTACTAAAACCACCAGATGGGCAATTTCAGTTTTAGCATGTTCCAAGTCCACAGCATATTCTGCAGCTTAACATGTCAGTACCTAAATGCGAATTTCTAGATACTGCAAGTTCAAGAGCCATTTGCACAGAACTCTGGCACTTGCAGGAGTTAGAAAGAAGCAGGATCTGCTCTGGTTGAACCCTGCTTTGATTAAGGGTGAGCAGCTCTTCACATACAAGGGGATGAAGGAGAACAGCATCATCAGGAAAAGCTGCTCACGTTCAAAGAGGGCAGAGATGTCCTGATGAAAGACAACCCCACGTTTCTTTGTGCCTCTCCAGATGGGACTTAGGAAGATGCACGGTCTTGCTACAACTGCACAGAAGTTAAAAGGTTCATTTCCTACAAGCCCTCTCTCTACTGCCCCATGAGCTGGACAGCTAGGAAGAAGGGAAGAAAAAGCACTGCTGTAAGTTGAGGAAAACCAAGTTAAAAAGCAGTAAAAAAGTATACTGAAGGATCCAGAGCAAAGCATTGTGCAATAGATGAGCCTTTTGTAGCCCCTTTTGAGTAAGATAAAGCCAGTGGTGCATCTGGTGAGCTAAAAGCATATGGTTTGCAGACATCTTTCATCAACTGTTCTTGGTAAGTTTGATGATTTGATGCTAATTATAAAGCACAAGACTCCTGGAACTGCTCAGGACAAATTTTTGCCTGGACCCACCAGGGGAACAGGCAGGTCTTTCTGTTTTTAGCAGTTTCATTCTCCTGCCCCAATAACCTTATCTAAACAGATAATACTGCTCTTACATCCTAAAATGTTGCTCATGCCATCTTGAAAACTTTCTCTAAGAGCATCTGTTCAGTGAAGCTGTGATAAACTGATGATCCCTTGGCAATTTCTTTTCTGATAAGAGATGTAAATTACCTTCAGCTTCCTTCCTGTACAGAGAAGAATGATGGAGCAGTATCTATTAGGCCCATTTAATAGAGTTAATCCAGGGATAATTTGTGTTTTCCTTGCACAAAGCCAGCTGCTGCCTTTTTTTTTTTTTTTTTTTTTTTTTACAGACTTAAAATTCTCTATAGTTTTAATATCTGATTTTTGTTTCCTCTTAGATGCTGCTTTCACAGAAATAGTCTATGTTGGCAAATCAAAATCTTCACCTTTTATGACAGAATAGCTCTAGGGAGAAAGAGAAATGGTTTGCAGAAAGGCTAAGCAAAAAAAAGGTGACACTCCTCATACAAATCACAAGCGCAGACTTGCTTCAAAAACAGAAGCTCTTTCATTCTGAGAAAAAAATGAAAGGCTGCATACAGAGAAGTGCAAGAAGACAGATATGAATAATTATTCTTTTGCACAATTATGAATGATACTTCCTGTTCTTCAGTGCAATCTAGTTGTATTTCCCCCTTGCTTTCCCTTATCAGTGCATGCAAAGGGCAAAATGAGAATATCTTGGCTAAAAATCCTAAAGCCAATTAGACATAAGGCAGAAGCTTCATCTAGAACTGTAAATGCTGGCCAGCCATTTCTTGCTCTTTTTCACAGGAAACATGGGACATTTCATTTACATTGTGGCAGCTTCCCTGTTTTAAAGCAAACTGCTTAAAAGCTATCAGGGATAAATTCTTCACCTTAAAGATGTAAGGAAGAAATTCTTAACCTACATTTATGTATAAAAGGTGTAAAGATATAGCCCTCTTTCTTTGCAGGTTATTATTTTTACCAGCAATGAGTGGGTGCTTGTTAATAATTGCTAGGGCAACACAAAATCTGGAATTGATATTGAATCACTGGCATCAGCAGGATAGCTTTTACCACACAAATAGGGAGAAGGGTTGAATTACTGTGATTTTCCACAGAATTTTATTCCTTAACATTTCCATGTAATTTAAATTCTTGTTCAAGGTGAGACTCTTTAATGAGTTGTTTGGCTCTGTTATTTTCACAGTGGGCTGCCTTGCTCAACAGACTGTCTTTCAAGAGGGTTTATGGAAAAAGTACTTAACTACTGGGCAGTGTGTCATCTCCATAACCAACTTATGGGACGCACCACAATGTGGGGCACCACAGTCGCCTTATGGGAGATGCATCTTTGAATCCTGAGCCTTAGGAACCTTGTATCAGACACTCAAGCCCTGGAGAGGCCTTCTGCTTGCCTTTGTTTTGTGCTTTTTCCAGAAAGCTCAAAGAACCCGTATGTTCAAAATCTGACCTGTGACTTGGAAAAAGAGCAATGATTTATACGGATATTGAAGCCATCTCTCCTTACCTCATAGTAGCTCTGGACAGCGTTTATAAATGCTTCATCTGCCACAATCTGTGTTTCTCCGTTGAGAAAGGCCTGGAATCGATCTTTGATTGTCTGTAGCTGCTGCTTACTTATCTGCAACACAAGGCCAAAAGGAGAAGGTTAGTTAAGAGAAGCTTATGTAAGAGCAAAAAAAAACCAAACACGTTCTTCTGCAGAGTCTTCTTTGGGGCGCTTGTGATACACGTTTCTGCTCTCCTTTGGGGACAGCAAAAGTAGATGAGAAATAAGCTACATGCAAGCACATGCCCAGGTGTGCTCCTATACCAGCACACTCTTCTGGGTGCCTTGAGTACCCAAAGCTTCCCGGAACATAATTTTGAAACAACTCTACAACCACAGAACACACACAGGACTTACTGCTTCAGGTAAACCTAACTGAGAAGGTTTTTTAAAATATGTATATATATGCGAGAAAGAAATTTTTTTCAGTGCATTTTTTTCCTCCTTTAGCTACACAGGACTTACTGCTTCAGGTAAACCCAACTGAGAAGGTTTTTTTAAATATATATATATATGAGAGAAATAATTTTTTTTCAGTGCATTGTTTTCCTCCTTTAGCCCTTGACCCCTTTGCATGTTGTCAGATAAACATTTAATCACAGAATGAGAAGCTTTGCATGCTGGCTGCTGAAGATGGGACTCATTAGCAGTCCAGAGCCTTGGCATTTCCTCTTGTTTTCCATCTTGCTATGAAATCCCAGAGCTGACCTCCCGTGCTAGCGAGCGGGGCACACAGCCAGCCCTGCCACAGCTCCTTCCCTGCTCCTTCCCTGTCTAGGAGTAGTTAAGCACAACGGGACTCTAATATCGGCTACAAAAAAGCAAAGGAAAGGCAATTTATCTTTTGCATGAGAAAGGCAGTTTCCCTTAGGCCTTGTCTAGGTTGCTTATTGCTTGTCATATATGGAACACCAGTCACGACTGAGAGTGAAAGAATTTAATGCCAAGCAAAAACATTTGAAAACTGTTCTCCTTATTCCATGCAAGGATCTTCTCTCTGCTGCCTAAATTCTTTTCTGTCCAGCCTACAGCCAATCAAACTTACAAGACAGTTAAGTTTTGGCATGCCAACATCAGTAGAAAGTCTACAGGGGGTTATTTTCACCTTGCAAGATAACACCGTTATTCTGCCAATTTATATGTCAGTTTAAAGCGAGATAAGAGAACGCCTCTTCAGCTCCTAATGTAAACAAAGCCACAGCAAGTACCCAAGTAACACGCAATGCCAATGAAATAGCTTAGGATTCAGATAGTACTCGTGCTGAAAAGGCTGCAGGGCTACAACTGTAATTGTGCCCGTTTTGGTATGTGACTACGTCAGGTTTGAGAATAAGAATCAGTTTACACGGGAAGAAGGGAATCAAGATGTATATATAACAATTTTCATTTGAAAGGGAAAGGAATAAAATTAGGATAATTATTTACTAATAGGCTAAAAGAATTGGAGGAGAGTAAGAGGAGTATGTTTACCTCGGCACTATCTCCGCAGAAGAAACCTGCCCATTAGAATGGGAGAGCAAAATAAAATTGTTGGCTCTAAGTGTCCAAATGGCTTTGAATAAAATATCAAAAACTACAGAGCTGTGAACAACTGGAGCGTAATGAAGCCTGGCAAACACAGCTAGAGATAAAAAGCAGGAGAGGGACTCCTTGGAAAACACAACGCGAGTACCGCTGCATCTCGCTGCGGCGTCGCATGCGGTGTCTAGGGGCTGCGGTACCGAACGTCGCGAAGACGAAAATTAATCCTGAACCACCCTGCTGAGGAGGGCTAGAGAGCGGTGGCAATTCGACATGATAATCCAGGGGTAGTTTATCCAGGTGCTCACGGAGAGGTGTTCATCAAACTGATGTAAAACAAAATTTAAAGTGTTCCGCTTACGAAAAACATGGAGCAATCTTTGTAACCCCTGCAGCTGCTGGAGAAAAAGGCCATTCCTCCCCAAAAGGGCAGCCCAGAAAGCACTCGGGCTTTGACATATGCATCCACACTCAGCCTCACACGGGGCACCAGGGCCAAAGCAAACACAGTCCCTCCAAACTGACCCTCAGCATTGGCCAGAGTCTGCAACGAGTCCGGGGAAAAGGCAGGGCTGAAAACTCCTGGTTCAAGGCTGGGTGGATTTTTTTTTTTCTGGATATAAGAGTCAAGCAGCTAAAACCCTGTGGGGAGTTCTCCAATAGCAACCCTCAACATCATGAGTCCTTCAGCAAGACACACAATACCAGACATTAAAAAAAAAAAAACAGGCTCCAAACCTATTTGATTTGATGGAAATACTGGAAAAAGTAGAAAAGAAAACAAGATCAGATAAGACAAGCCGGTGAGGATATAGTGATCAAATGGGAAATAGCTGTGTGAAGGTGCTAGGACTGTTTTTATTAAGCATTTAATTATCTGAGTGAAGAGAAGAATCAGGACATTTAATTAAAAGTATTGATGATTTCATAACAGCAGCCATTGCGGATGCCAGGCAGGAACGATGGAACAAGGGACACCACGAGAAAACAAGAGAAAAAAAAAAAAAGAAAGCGAAACTACACCTAAGATTGAGATCTGCATATTGAGACCCAGGGAAAGATACACGAAAAGCACAAGATATTCTGAGCTTAAAAAAAAAATAAATGAAAATTCACCTTGACTTTTCATTCAGGATTTTGACAGTGTGAATGGCATTTTATTTATTTTTTCCAGGTTATTTATGGACAGCTTCCTGAAATCCTGGCTTGTTCAACGCCTATACTCCTACCTAGCTGCAATATTTTCTCCTCCTTCCTCAGTACTGAACGGGCTTCCTTCAAAATGCGCAAAAATCCTTCTTGAAATTCTTAGAAAATCCCAGGGCTCATCCTGCCCGTGGCCTCCCGGGGGCTGTGGAAATGAATCATCGGGTTTTTCTCTCCCAGAGCGTCACCTGCCTCCTCCTCCGATCTCCATGTGAATGTTTTCCACATCCAGGGAAGAGGAGGCCTCTTGGATCGCATCAGATGAGCAGCACAGCCCATCCGCAGCTAACACGACCCTCCCTTTTCCATGGCCATGATGCTGCAAGAACGCTGTTTGACCAGGGCATTAATTACTGGGAGCAGGGGGAAGATGCGACCTCCTGCTCCCGCTCCCATCTAGCGGCTTTTTCCAGTAAGAACCAATTAGAGCAAATTAGAGCACGCCTGACCTCCGTCTGCAGCCCTTTAATGCCATGAGCTGGACAGGGCTGTGCTTTTATTTTTCACGTGCAGCAGGGCCAGGGCCTCCTCTCTGCTTCTGCCATCAGCTGCTAGAGGCCTTGCAACCACTGCAACCCAGGCTCCGAAATGCACCTCCTGGCAGCGGGAAGGAAGAGCCTCCCCAGAGCCCAGTGTCCTGGGGCAGGATTTGGTTGGAAGAGCCGGAGCTGGACGGAGCTCCCTCGCCGGCAGCCCCGCTCCCGGCAGGACACGTCTTCCACCCAGCATCCTGCTGCAAAGCACTTAAGCAGGGGCTTGAAATGCAAACAGTGCAACCAGCCCCTCCATAGGCTGTAAAGAGCCTTCACCACTCGCCTTGGAGCTTAAGTGCTTTGAAGACAGGGGTGCTGTTTTAACTCTCCTTACTAGACTCGCTAGCGATCCACTAAAGAACCAGGAGTTTATACAAAAAGCCCAAAGCTTCTGCCTTGTTGCTTTGCACACTAAGACCTCTGAATGGGCTCAGACAGAGCCCTCCTCACTTGGTTACCTTCCACAGTCTGCTTACAAATAGCATGAAACAGAATTACTTCCCCCTGGAAACACATTGAAGTGATACACGATCCTTCTGCACCGCCTGTGGCACTAGGCAGAACTCCTCTTGGGTGCAACCTCATCTTTGGGGACTTTGGTAGGGTGCGGAGGGCAGAGTCTCACTGCAGCTGCATACAAATAAAAATTCACATGTAAATTCACAATAGTGAAGAGTTAGCCCCAAACGGGAGTACTGTAGTGGCTAGTAAAAGTTGGAGGAAATTCTTAACTTTGCCTGAGGTAGACTGCAGCAAACGTAGCCTCCTCGGGACAAATGATCAGGAAAAGTTTTCTTGCTTCATGTTGTTTTACGTGTATTTCATCAGACTCAGAACTGAATGCAAACCCTAATGCATGAAGCCATGGCACTGTCTCCTGAGCCATTCAAGCCAGCAAGTCTATATCACATAACTATGTTATCTGTGAGGGGGATAAATATATGTATTTATATTTCCTCTCCCAGTTCTATCATGAATGAGTCAAATCACTGTCTCAGATCATCTCAGGGAGCTCAAGTCTCTCAAAGGCATGTATGCCTTTGAACTTTGAAAGGCTACTGCACTAGCTTAAGCTCTGCATTTTTTTTGTTTGTTTGTTTGTTTTTTCACTTATAAAGCAATTGCAAAATTGTATGTGCAAAGGAAACAAGGTGACTTGCATTCACGGGACAGCAGTCTTTCCAAGCTTTGTACGACGCACATCAAAAGCATTAAAGAGCCACAAAACACGTGCCTTGAAAGCTAACAGAGTTCTCATTTACTGGTGCAGAGCCGCTTCGCAGGGAGAGGCCAGACCAGGTTGTGCTGCCGAATGAGGCCCGTCTTATAGAGCTGCTCCTTTGCCCGTGCCAGGCCTGGAGAGCACCCTGTGCACAACTGCACCTGCACGCAACGGGCCACCAAAGCCACGCGTCACCCTCGCCCACGCCAGATCTCGCTAATTCACACAACACGAGCAGGCCCTGAATTAGCTTCTAATGCAATTAGCAGTCCATTCACTTCCACGACAGACTTGACACACCAGGGAGAGCCCTTTGCCCCGCAGACTCCACGCAAGGAACCAGGAGTCTCTCAGCAGCTCAGCAGTCCCTTGACTCGCCAGCAGCAGCTCCGCAGAAGATCACAGGTTACTTCCCAGAGAAAGCACCTCTGCCTTTGGTCTCGGAGATCGGTTTGCAGCACACAAACAACGAGCAGACTAAGAGGCTTTTCCCAACTAAGAGCTGGGAACTTCACCCAACTTTGATTTTATTTTATCCAAGTCAGTCATTAGCAGAGTATGTTTGCAATAGACCTACCAGGCTGCTGGCC